TAATTTGGTGTTTAACACCTAAACTTAAGCATTACCAACCCTCAGTAAACTTCTTTTAAACAACTATCCATAATGCAAAATTTCAAAACCCAAAGAAGTAAATGAAAATAATAACCATTTATTTATTCTGAAACTATCACTTTTGCTTCATGTTCTCCTGGCTACCTTTTACTCATTTAGGTTGCTGTCCTCTGCCTCTTCTAGAAATCCCATTCCTGTTCCTCTTTTCTAGGCTATCTTATAAACCAACATGGTTATAGCTATTATATGCTAATATACTTTAGCACTACCTTTTCTTTTAAATTCCATATAGACATTTGTGTTTTCTTTCCTTTCTATTCACTATCAAGTGTCTGATATGGTCCAGGTACTAGGATTAGTATTATGATTAGGAATAAGATGTATTGATAGGTAGATACCCCTCTAAGTGGTAGAGAAAATGGACTGTCAAACAATTAACTATACTACAGGTCAGTGCTCGCTATATGCTAAGGGAGTTCTGAGAATACATGACAGGGCTCTACTACAATGCCCCATGGTCATCTTAAAACCAATTTTATGTATCCCAAACCAAATGATTTAACCTTCTTACATCACACAAGCATATTCATCCAGGTTTTCTCTATCTTAACTACAAATGCAAGAGAAACAAAAGAGAAAAACTTTGATCATTCTTTTTTAAAATTTTTAATGTGTATGTGTATTGCATGTATTGCCTGCACATAAGAAAGTGCACCGTGTCGTGCAATGCCCGCGGAGGTCAGAAGAGGCTGTCAAAACCCCTGGGACTGGAGTTACGGACCACTGTTAGCTGCCAGGTGAGTGCTGGGATTCGAACCTGGGTCTTCTGCAAGAACTGCCAGTGTTCTTAACCGCTGAGCTATCTCTCCAGCCCCATGATCATTCTTTTTCTTATTCTTCCTTGGAATTTTAATAGATTTTAGTAGCAAGCGCATCCCTAATCTATCCCTTCATCATCTCTTGTATTTTACTGTCTTTCAATTTAGCTCTGACAAGTCTCACTCTCTAGACTCTCTAGTCATTAACTCCCTAGTTACCCAATTTCTAAAACTTACATATGATCCCATATCTAACCCACTTCCACCTTCCTCAAAACTCTCATTAGTCCTGAATGAAAATAGAATTAGAGCCAGTGAGAATGGCTCAGCAGGTAAAGGTCCTTGCTGCCAAGCCTGATGACCCGAGCTTGATCCCAGCAACCCACATGGTGAAAGAAAAGAAACCACTCTTTGTGGTATTCTTCTGACCTCACTGCACATGCACAAAATACATAATTTTTTTTTTTTTGGTCTTTTTGAGACAGGGTCTTCTTGTAGCCCTAGCTACAAGGAACTCGCTATATAGACCAGATTGGCGCCGAACTTAGAGATCCGCCTGCCCTCTGCCTCCCAAGTGCTCAGATTAAAGGCGTGCACCACCACACCTGGACCCAAAATACATAAATTTTTAACAATTGAAAAGAAAGAAAACAGAAGTAAATCCAAAGTCCTCGTATCACTTAGTCTTCAAAATAAGTCAATCTATCCTTTTAGCTTTATCAAATCATATCACACAATCCACAAACTATGTCATTAATTTTTATGCTTTCAAGCCTTTGTATACCATAGTTGCTGGGTAAGAAATGTATCTAATTCCTCAGTCAGCTTCTTTTCCTCTAATAACAATTTAGTGACACAGTCAAGAAGTAGTCAACCTTCCCTCTTCCTTCTGAAATGTTTATTATTTCCTGATAGGGCTTCTAAAGCTTTGCTTGCTTTTAAGTTCTATCACAAGAATAATGGCATATACTATTATAGTAAGTAATGTTACATCTCTCTTCTACTTGACAGTATCTACTCTCCATTCATTTCAGGGACAATTAGTATCTATAAACCACCAGGCTATATGCTGAGAATACGTGGTCACAGTGCAGTGTGCCTGAACTTTCTGTAGATAAGGATCCTGTGGGGTTTTTTTTTTTTTTTTTTTTTTCTGTATTATCTTCATACTCTTGCCTACTAGATGTGCTCAGTAAATCTGAGTGGCTGATATAGAGCCCTCCAAATCCAGGGATTTCTCATCTATGGACTCAACTAAGGATCAAAATTATTGCATCCAGGGGCTAGAGAGATGGCTCAGCAGTTAAGAACACTGGCTGCTCTTGCAGAGAATTCAAATTCAATTCCTAGCACCCACATGGCAACTAACAAATATCTGTAACTCCAGTTCCAGGGTAATCCAACACCCTTTTCTGACCTCTGCAGGCATGGCATGACACAGGTGCATGAACAAATGCAGGCAATACAATCATACACATAAAAAAATATACTGCATCCACACTGAACATGTAGACACTTTTTCCCCTATCATCTAAACAATACAATGCAACAACCATTAAAATATTTACATTGTAGGGCTGGAGAGATGGCAGAGCGGTTAAGAACACTGGTTGTTCCTGCAGAAGACCCGGGTTCAAATCCCAGCACCCACACGGCAGCTAACAACTGTCAGTAACTCCAGTTCCAGGGGATCTGACAGCCTCTTCTGACCTCCGACCTCCGTCGGCATTTCATGACACGGGTGCACTTACTTACATGCAGACAATACACGCATACACATAAAATAAAAATAAAATAAAAATTTACATTGTATTGGGTATTCTAAGAGATAATTAAAGTACATGGGACATGCATAGGTATCTAGATTTTATGCAAATATTACACCATTTTGGTATTGGTAAAGTCTTTACACCAACTTCTTCCTCTCCAGAGATACTACTGGGGGACAACTATAGCCATTAGTATTATACTATTATAGTAGGGTTTAGTAATTAAAGGACAAATGGCCAACATGCTATATTACATGAAAGTCATTGAGAATACAGGATACTTAAAATGAAATACACACATACCCCCCCCACACACACACTCTCTCTCTCTTTGGAGAAAAAGTCTCATTATTTAGTCTAGTCTTGCCTTGAACTTGCAACTCTTGCCTCAGCCTCCAAAGTGCTAAGATTATAGGAATATGCCAGCTACCCCCAACTACTACCCTTGTATGCACCTGACTCTTTCAAAACCCCAAAAGTTATGGCCAACAAAATAGTTAAATAACATCAAGTCTCAAAACATACCTTGGATTTCCTTTCCACCAAACACTCATTACTTCCTACTCCCCACCATTTTTCGTTGCTCAATAAGTAAATTTTGTTGCTCAGTAAGCAAGTGAATCTTTATGGAATCTTAAGGAGGATGCTTAAATCATCTTGCTAAATCTAAAAAGAAAGTAATATGTATTAATTACTGAGTGCCACTTTTATGCCCAATGTGGAACTAAAAAGACTTAAAATGCTTTATTGCCAATGTCACACTAACCTTGCCAAATGAATATTAACTTTGTATAACAAACTGAAGCTAACACAGGTTGAGTAACTGGCTTAAATTCACAGAGAAAATGAAACTTGGCCCAAGCTCAGGTATCTGGGTGCCTCTGTTCTTTTCTGAGCTGTCCTCTCCTCTTCCATGTCCCTATCGCCATTCTTCCCCCTTCCAGGTTATCCTCTGTGCTGCTCTCAGCTGTGTCCTTCTAAAACCCAAATCCAGTAGATACTCTGTTCAGAAAGTAAAACAAAACAGGAAGTAACAAAACAATCAATCCTCAAAGATGCTATAGCAGGCCAATTCCTGTGGGGTTTGTAGCCTCTTAAAATAAAATGAGGAAGACTACGGAGATGACTCAGCTGGTACAGTCCTTGCCAGTCATGGCAAGCATGAGGACCTGAGGTCAGATCCCCTGAACCCTTGTTAAAGAAAAATAAGCCAGACAAGGTGGTATGTGTCTGTAACCCCAGGTCTGGCTGGGAAAAGACAGGCAGATCCCTGAGGCTCACTAGCCAGGCAGCTAAAGGATGAGTTTCAGGTTCAATGAGAGACTGCATCATAAAACATAAAGTAGAAAGCAACTGATGCAAACCACCCCAATATTTACCTCTGGCTTCCATATGCACATGTGCGAATACCTACACTAACAAGTACATATACTAAATACAATCCACCCACACACACCCCAAAAAACAAAAATAACAGAACGAAATAAGGTATAGAGTGGGGCTCAGTGGCACAGCACACGCTTAGCATGCATAAGGCTCTGGGTTTGTTCCCCAGCACCAAAATTAATTAAGCCATGCATAAGGCTCTGGGTTTGTTCCCCAGCACCAAAATTAATTAAGCAATGTAACAAAGACTACAAATCATACTATATTCGTCTCAGCTTTTTTTTTTTTCAATCTTAAAACAATTTTTTGGCACTAGTTTTCACATGAATTTCTTATGTGAAAAGGATACAAATCTAACAAACTCAATGGAAAAAACACCCCAACTTTAAAAAAATAAATTCTTTTCCACCGTTAACTGCTAAGCAATACACATGCATTTGTTTTAATGTCTGACTCTAGAGCTATTTCTTTGAATTGTATTAGTGAAGAGTCATAGTGTTAATATTAATGTAAGCCTTCTAATTACTTTCAGCTTAGCTTTATGAAGCAAAAACAAAAGAAAACTTAATTGTCTTGGGTGCACTTGCAATTAAAAACTAGAAGAAAAGAGGGCTGGAGAGACGGCTCAGTGGTGAGTACTTCCTGCTCTTCCAGAGAATCAGGGTTTAGCTCCTAGCACTCATGCAGTGGCTCTTAACTGTCTATCTTGTAATTTCAGTTGGAAGAGATCCAATAACCTCTTCTGGCCTCCATATGTGGTACACTTACAAACACACAGGCAAAATACTCAAACATATTTAAAAAAAAAAAAAAAAGGAGGAAAAAACAGCTTATCTAAAAGTCACTTTTTTTTTTTTTTGAGACAGGGTCTCCCTGTAGCCCCAGCTGTCCCGGAACTCACTATGTAGACCAGGCTGGCCTTGAACTCACAGAGATCTGCCTGCCTCTTTAAAGGTGTAAGCCACCATCCCGGCCTAAAAGTCACTCTTTGAAGAGTGAGAAAAAAAAAAAAAAAAAAAAAAGCCATTACAAATCTCAGGAAGTTCCTAAAAGTTACAAGGCCCCTCCTCAAGTTATACAAGCAGTAACTATTACTGGGAGAAGACTCAGACTGGTTGACCTGCCTGCATGCCATATAAGGCTTTCCCATGATGCAGCTTTGATAAATCTTCACCTATGCTTGAATGGGATTTCCAGTGGTGCACCTGCCTTTGAATCACCCTTTCTCCATACCCCTGGAAGTAACACTAGTAGAAAAATCACTGATTGGCTAAACTAAAAAAACAAGCCACTCTTAGACAAATTATAACCTATGATGCTGTGACAATTTCTCTGAACTACTAAGTTTTTATTCAATTCTAAATGAACCAATGTTACCGAAATTAAAGGAATATAGGATTTTTTTTGAAGGAGCTTATCTTATAAATGGTCCATAAACTGTAATCTTTCTATGCTGACAGTTAAATACATGTAACATAAACTTAACCATTTTAGCCATTTTTAGGTGTATGGTTCTGTGGCATTAAATACATTTATATTGTATCATCACCATCACCTATCTCTAGAAGTTTTGATCCTTCCCAACTGAAACTCTATCCACCAATTCATGCCCCTCCCCCCTTCCAGTCCTCATTCTATGTTGCCATTTGATTTTTTTTCTACTCCTGGGCACCCCTAAGCAACTGAATTACAGAATATTTGTCCTTTTCAAGCTGGCTTCTTTCATTTAGTATAGTACCATCAAGGTTCATTCATGTTGTAGAAGTAGTTAGAATTTTTAAAAAGAATTTTTTTTAAAGGCTGAATCATAATCCATTGTATGTATTAGTTTATCCATTTCATCCTAGTTTAAAATCCTGAGTGTAGCATTATGAGAAACTTAGGATAGAACTCACAAAATGAGGGGCTGGGGAGATGGCTCAACAGTAAAGAGCACTTGCTACTCTTGCAGAAGAGTCAGGTTTGGTTCCTAGCACCCACATGGTGGCTAATCACCAACTATAACCTCAGTTCCAGGGCATCTGGCCTCAGAGGGCATCAGGCATGCATGTGGTACACATACATATATGCAGGCAAACAAACACACCTCAAAGAGGTACAGTAAAATGTTTTTATGTTCTCATGAGTAACCAAGCCTTACCAGACTGTTTATTTAAAGGCAATACTTTAGTCTAATAGGAAGAAAACAGAAGAGTTACATTTGTTTTTTTTCTGTTTTAAACTTGGGCAATGTTGATTTCATTTAGGTAAAATGAAGGGACTGAACCCTATTATTTTATAAATGTATCTAGGAAACAAGAAAATATTAGGTACTTTGAGTATAATTCCCCGTTGAGTTAGTTCTAAGTAGCTCCATTTTTATCAAAGGAGAAATTATCTCAAAATCATTATGTACGTAGTTTACCCCCAATCATATAAGAAAGTGTACAACTTTGGGATGCCTATGTCTTTCTGACCCCAAAGCTAATGCTCATTCTACTATAACTTAATATTACTGATGAAAAGTACCAAGGGTAATAAGTGGGGATGAAATGTACCTAGAACAATGCACCTCTAACTGTGCTGATTAGATGAGTGCAATGATGCTCATATCTTAAAAGAAATAAAACACTGTAAATGATTTTCCTGTGTTCTCGTGGCTACTTCAGGAAATAGTACTTTTATTTTTTCCAGAACTCTAAGTTTGCTGGCTTCATGCCACTTCAACACAGTATCTATAAAACTAAATATTGAAATTGCTCTTTGAATGCCATTTTCACAATAGAAACTACTGGGAACACCAGGAAAAGTAGCTTAATGTTAACGTACTACTAAGGCTTACTCATAGGGTCATATTATATTTCTTTCTGACCAATGCTAGTTTGTTAATTTATTTATTTATATTTGGAGGGCTGGAAAGATGGCTTGGTGGTTGAGAGCACTGGCTGCTCTTGCAGAGGAACTGGGTTCAGTTCCCAGCACCCATATGTTGGCTCACTTCAGTTCTAGGGAATCTGATACCCTCTTTTGGCCCAAGTGGTCACTGCATGCACATGGTACACTTAGATACATGAAGGCAAAACACTCTTACCCATGAAATAATTTTTTAAAGATTTCCCTTTGTGAGCGTGGTGGCACATGCCTTTAATACCAGCACTCAGGAAGCAGAAGCTGGAGTTATTTCTGTGAGATGGAGGCCAGCCTAGTCTACATAGTAAGTTCTAGGCCCGCTGGGGAGACTGTCTCAAAATACAAAATGAGAGTAATACAAAATCACTTTGTATTCACTTTTTCTGAAGAGATTTCTGAAGCATAATGTAATTTACATTAGTATTTTATAAATTTGAAAACAGGACTACTTTACACTATTACAGGACTTTCCAAAGACTTTTTCCTTTTAGGAAATTAGTCAATATGGTTCCTTCTCATCCACAGTTAAGAAAATGAATGCCTTTAATTCCAGCACAGGTGTGTGTGTGTCTGATTTCAACGCTAGCCTGGTCTACATATCCAGGTCAGCTAAAGCTACACAGTGAGACTCTTGTCTCAAAATAAATAGAAAAGAAAATGAATTGATTCCACTTAGAATAGCCTGTATTTAAGATGTGAAATGTCTGCACTATTCATACCTTTAATCTACATGAATTGAATGTCAGGCAAATAAACCATTCAGTAGATGTCTAAAACCTAAGACACATGTAGTTACAGTTTCTCTTTTCTACGATTTCTGCTTATTTTTCAGAAGAATGCATAAAAGCAAACCAAAAATGTGTAATAAATAATGTGTTTTCTATGCCTTTTGATAAGAGAAGGCCATGGTCCATAGCTACACAGAAATGGAAGGATACGAGGAATAGGCACTGTGCAAGAAGATGTAAAATTCACAAATATTTAAACGCCATAGGTGTTTAAAATCTGAAAAGGCCATTTCTTTTCCCACAAACAAAACCAAATATTTAAAAAATAACTGTTGGGGGCTGGAGATAGCACAGCGGTTAAGAACACTGACTGTTCTCACAGAGGACCTGGGTTCGAATCCCAGCACCCAAAGGACAGCTAACAACTGTCTATAACTCCAGTTCCAGGGGATCCGACAGTATCTTCTGTCCTTCACGGGCACTGCACGACACAGGTGCACTTCCTTACATACAGGCAATACACTCATACACATAAAATATAATAAAATATTTTTTAAAAAAGAACTATTTAAGTATTAACTTCTTGAAGGCAAATAGAAATCAGCTTTTGTCTGAATTCCCAGACACTAACTACAATAAAGAAATAATTTCTCTTCTGCAAGTGTATCAGAAGTCTAGACAGAGAAAGTTGTGTGCCAGGGCCAAAGAAATTTATGTGACACAACCCTACTCTGATATTGTTAGAATCAGTTTATTGGGGTACCTTTATTGGGCCACAAAAGCTTATTATAAAAAAACATTAAAAAGCCAGGCGTGGTGGCGCACACCTTTAATCTCAGCACTCGGGAGGCATAGGCAGGCAGATCTCTGTGAGTTCAATGCCAGCCAGGTCTACATAGTGAGTTCCAGGACAGCTGGAGCTACAGGGAGACCCTGTCTCAAAAAGACCAAAAAAAAAAAAATTTCCATCAATATTATACAAATAACATCTAATCCAAT